TCACTTCTTCTCTTGTGAATCTCTTTGTCTTGTCATGTCATCAGCCTCTTGGTTTTAATACAGTGAAAGAGCAATATAAATAAGACATGTTTTTATTTTTATTTTTATTTCATATAGAAGTTTTTTTTCTTAGAATCACAAATATAACAAATGTTTTTTTTATTTTTATTTCATACATATTTTTTTCTTAGAATCACAAAATAATAAAAATGTTTTTTTTTTTTTTATTCATACATATTATTTCTTAGAATCACAAAATAAGAATCCACAGATAGATAGATAGATAGATAGAGATCATGATTCATCATAATTTTGCCGTCCGCTGATGTATACTTTTAGGGGTGGGGGGTGGGGGGGGGTGGGGGGGGGGGGTGTTGCTCAGAATCTACTTTTCATCGAGTTGTGATAATGATAAGAATTATCAATAATAAATAATAATAATAATAATAATAATAATTATTAATAATAATATTACGAATAATTAATGAATAATAATGAATAATAAGAATTATGATTATGAATGACTCCTTATTAATATCATCATTACTTCGTTATTTCTAATGTTGATATGGTATTTATCTGTATCATTGCATATAGATATGTATATTATCATCATAATCCTCGGCGTTGATTTTATTCTTCATATCGTTAATTTAATGATCAGTGTGATTATCACTTATCATTTATACTGCTATTCTCATAATTTTTTTCAGACTTTGTTATCAAAGTCTACTATTATCATCATTACTATTGATAGTTTTATTGTTCGCATTATTATATTTTATTATTATTATTATTATTATTATTATTATTATTAATTATTGTTTTATTATTAATTATTATATTGTTATTATTATTGTTATTATTATTATTATAATATTATTATTATTATTTCATTATTATTGTTATCATTATTATTATTTATTATTATTATTATTATTATTATACCATATCATCATTATCCTTATTATCATAATCCCTATTCTATTGTTTTGCTATTTCCTTTGTTATTATCATCATTATAATCATCATTATTATTATTTATAAAGATAATATCATCATTATCATTTATAATGATATTATTATCATTACCATCTATAATAATGATATTACTATCATTGTCATTGTTATTATTATCATTATTATTACTATTGTTATCATTTTTCTTCTTATTGTTATTATCTCTTTTATGATTACGATTATCATTGTTACTATCATCAATATTGCTATTATTATTGTTATTATTATTATTTTATATCATCATCATTATTATTATAATCATAAATAGATAGGTATATGATTTTATTTTATTACTAGTATTATTATTAGTATCATTATCTTTATTATTATTACTATTATTTTATTATTATTATTATTATTATTATTTATTATTATTATCATCATCATTATTATCTTTATTATTATTATTATTATCATAGATAGATAGTATATAATCTTAGATAGATAGAGAAGAGTCTGCCAAAAAGGCTGGGCTATAGAGAGATAAACAGACAGACAGATAGATAGATAGACAAACAGAGAAAGAATGCGAAATAGATAGATAGACAGAGAGAATTCCCATGCTAATACCACCCCAAAATAACCACGCCATGAAACTACATCACACAATACCCCTGACATACACACGACCGCAAACCAACACGTAATCATCATTTAAATCCAACGCTACATCAAAACATTACCCGATAATGAAGATTTAATCAATACTGTTATTAATTACCCCCTCCCACCCCCCCTACCCCCTACCCCCACCCACACCACCGGAATAAGGTCGAAGTTGGAGCGAATTCGATATACTAAATAGACGCTGCGCTCGCTTCCCTGATTGTAACCGACTTGCGACCCTCTATCTCTCTGTCTCTCTCTCTCTCTCTCTGTCTCGCTCGCTCGCTCTCTCTGTCTATCTATCTATGTATCTATCTATCTTTCTCTCTTTCTCTCTCTCTCTCTTCTTCTTTTTCTCTTTCTGTGTGTGTGTGTGTGTGTGTGTGTGTGTGTGTGTGTGTGTGTCGTCTGTCTCTCCTCTCTCTCTCTCTCTCTCTCTCTCTCTCTCTCTCTCTCTCTCTCTCTCTCTCTCTCTCTCTCTCTCTCTCTTTCTTTCTTTCTTTCTTTCTTTCTCTCTCTCTCTCTCTTCTCTCTCTCTCCCTCCTCCCTCTCTCTCTCTCTCTCTCCCTCCCTCTCCTCCCTCCCTCTCCCTCCCTCTCTCTCCCTCCCTCCCCTCTCTCCCTCCCTCCTCCTCCCCCTTCTCTCCTCTCCTCCCTCTTCCCCTCCCTCCTCCTCCTCTTCTCTCTTTCTCCTCCCTTCTCTCTCTCTCTCCCTCTCTCTCTCTCTCATTTTGTTATCGTTGCAGAGCCGCCGGTTTGCACGAGTAATAATCTGCCATGTTGCTCAATTGGCTTTATTTGGCTCGCTCATAGACTCGCCTGAAGGGAAGGTTGCCTCGGCTATGAGAGGCAGGCACTTCCGGGAGAACTTGCGGGCGTGGGCGTGGGCGTGGGCGTGGGCGTGGGCGTGGGGCGTGGGGGGGTGGGGATCGGTGGGTGACTGCGTGGCTGTCTGTCCTGTCTCGTCTGCGCGCGTGTGAGGCAGGCACTTCCGGGAGAACTTGCGGCGTGGGCGTGGCGTGGCGTGGGCGGGGGGGATCGGTGGGTGACGGCGTGGCTGTCTGTCCTGTCTCGTCTGCGCGCGTGTGAGGCAGGCACTTCCGGAGAACTTGCGGGTGGGCGTGGGCGTGGGCGTGGGCGGGGGGGATCGGTGGGTGACGGCGTGGCTGTCTGTCCTGTCTCGTCTGCGCGCGTGTGAGGCAGGCACTTCCGGGAGAACTTGCGGGCGTGGCGTGGGCGTGGGCGTGGGCGTGGGCGTGGGGGGAATCGGTGGGTGACGGCGTGGCTGTCTGTTCTGGCGTGTGAGGCAGGCACTTCCGGGAGAACTTGCGGCGTGGGTGGGCGTGGGCGTGGGCGGTGGATGTCTGGTCTCGTCTGCGCGTGTGAGGCAGGCGGAGAACTTGCCGTGGGCGTGGGCGTGGGCGTGGGGGATCTGGGTGACTGCGTGGCGTCTGTCCTGTCTCGTCTGCGCGCTGTGAGGCAGGCACTTCCGGAGAACTTGCGGGCGTGGGCGTGGCGTGGGCGTGGGCGGGGGATCGGTGGGTGACGGGTGGCTGTCTGTCTGTCTCGTCTGCGCGCGCGTGTGAGGCAGGCACTTCCGGAGAACTTGCGGCGTGGGTGGCGTGGCGTGGCGTGGGCGTGGGGGAATCGGTGGGTGACGGCGTGGCTGTCTGTCCTGTCTCGTCTGCGCGCGTGTGAGGCAGCGCACTTCGGGAGAACTTGCGGCGGGGCGTGGGGCTGGGCGTGGGCGTGGCGTGGGGTCGGTGGGTGACGGCGTGGCTGTCTGTCCGTCTCGTCTGCGCGCGTGTGAGGCAGGCACTTCCGGGAGAACTTGCGGGCGTGGGCGTGGGCGTGGGCGTGGGCGTGGGGGTGGGGGATCGGTGGGTGACGGCGTGGCTGCTGTCCTGTTCGTCTGCGCGTGTCTTTGGAGGTTCGGTGTTGGTTGGGGTCTGCTCCTGGCGATGTGTGTTTTGTTTTTTTTGTTTTGTTTGTTTGTCTTTGGGATATTTTTGGTTTTTTTTCTTTTGTTTATTCTTATTTTTCTTGTTTGTGTTTTCTTTTTTAATTTTTTTTTTCTTTGTTTCTTTGTTTTCTTTCTTTGTTTCTCTTTGTGTTTTCTTTGTTTCTTTTTTTTTCTTGTTTCTTGTCTGTTTTTTTTTCTGTTTGTCTTTCTTCATCTTATTTGATTTTATCGCTCTTTCGGTTTCTTTTTTTCTTTCTATCCCTTTGTGATACTTTATTTTTCCTTTTGTTCCTTTTTTCTTTCTCTGTTTCTTTCTTTGTTTCTCTTTCTGTTTCTTGTTCCTTTAATTTTCGTTTCTTCTCCTCTCCCTCTCCTCCCCCTCCCCGCCTCAATCCCTCCC